AGATAAACAAACAATCAACTTCATACCTATAATTCTCTACTATCGTATAATTAGTATCATAATTTTCGATGAAACTTTCATCATTGTCTAGTTAGCATGTAGCGCTCGAGTAAAACAACATATTTGAATCAGAATGATCCTAAAAGATAGCATACTCCTAAAAAAAATTAAGTTATTATCTATACCAATAAAATGTAAATTTATTTTTCCACAGAAACTCTATAATTAATTATGTTTATCTTAAAATAATTTTATATTAATAAATTTTCTAAATTGAAACAACTTAGTTTGTTAATACAAGAATTACAATCTGAGTATAATCTGAATTACAAGGTCAAATTCGAATTTAAATCTTGTTTTAATGGAAGATAGTAATGTTTCTTGTCCCCAAATAAACAGTTAGGTTGGAAAAAGTGAATTTATTTATTTTATTATATTATTATTATTATTATTATTATTATTTTTGGTGAACAACATTTAATATGATATTAAGATTTGTTAAGAAAGAAAAATACATGGTCCTTTTTAAATATAATTTTAAGAGAGAAAAATACACAAAATAAATCAGAACTAAAGCATGAAAACCAAAGAATAATTATGATAGTCAAACAACAGCCAAGATTGCAAGAACGGCGACGAAGACCGAGGTCAGTGGGTTCAACCGCGTTGCAACACCCACCCCAATATTCGGCAAGCCGGTGCTTCCTCCTGGGGTAACAGGTGCCGGAGGAGAATCATCGGACGGCGGAGATTTGTCGGTCGGAGGGGAGTCAAATGGAGAGGTATAGCCGTAGGGAGTGCCAGCGCCATTCTCGTAACCTGGTTTAAGGAAACAAGCTTCACTGACACAGCAAACAAAAAAAACCATAAAAACGAAGAAGAGTTTTGAGGTGAAGTGACACTCACAGTCTGAAGGACTCCAGCCCAACACCATCTTTTCACGATTGAAGACAATACGATACCCAGCCATGAAGTCGACTACAAGAATACGAAAAAGTAAAAGATTCTTCAGATCACAAGCACTTCTTCGACTCTGAAAATGGTTAGAAATTACGAATCTACACAATGGTATGATATCGTCTACTTTCAACCTACGCTCTCATGGCTTTGCTTGTTATAATAAGTGAGGAATACTTTCTCTATTAGTATGAGGCGTTTTGAGAAGTTCAAAACAGAGCGAACTTATCTCAAAATAGAGAATATCATACCATTGTGGAGATTCATAATTCTTAACAAAAACCGCTACGAAATAAGTAAAGATAGAAAAGCTGTGAATTAGATGCATAGAGAGGGAGATAGAGGCCTCACTTCCAATTATATTAATACTAGTGCTTTTGACAATCGTTAGACAAACAGCACGTCTAGTATCCGCATCCTGAAGCCCAAAAAAGAAAAACCCAGATCAGCAAAAGCTCAAAAGATTGCAGAGACGAGTGAGAGAGCTATAAAAGCCAAAAGCTATCTCTTGTTTTCTCTTTTCTAAAAGCTGAAAATTACTTCAAATGTTCAGAGTACTCACATCAATCGAAAGGGTAAGGAATTGACCCAGAGGGGTAAAATCATCTCCACCCTTCATCGTAAAATTAAGCACCGGACCATCAATGGTTTCTGCATATAAACTGAATATAATAAACCGAGTATGAATAAGAATCCAGGAACGCTTTGAAAGAGAATAACTGGTTTCATTATTTATCTCATTAGCTACTTACGGAGTTTCGTAGCAGTACTCAAATGGGAAATCGGGACCAAATGAAAAGCGCTTTAAGTGGATCCCTGAATCTATCTACACAATAGTTTGAGAATCTCAATTAGTATGAAGCTTTTTGGAAAAATCTAAAAGAAAGTCACCAGAGTTTAGGTTCAAAGTGGATAATATCTAGTAATTCCTAACAATTATATGGAATTTCCATGAGTTGAAACTGCAGATAGCTTACTTGCTCGGAAATAAGAGAGTAAACTGGTTCAGCTAGGTATGTAAACGAGGCACCACCGTCGAAAATTGCAGTAAATTGAACATCGTTGGTTTTTTCACCCACAATTATCTGAGTGATGGTCACATTGTAGTGTGGACTGCCAAAATGAACAAGACAATCCAGTTATAAAAGCCAGACAATTTAACATTTTGAATATGGTTTAGAAGTGAAAAGTTCTAACAAATTGGGATTTGAATTGATGGGTGTTTCTTTTTGGTCTGGTGTGCCTGTGTCCCCAAAATCGATTCTCCCAAGTTCATCACGTCCGAAACACATGGAGAATGAATCAGCGATAAGACCTTGGTTAGCTAAGAAACTTGGAACTGATATCCTTTCCATGCCAAGCCCAATAAGACCATTGGGAGCTGCATGTTTCGCAAATCTACCAGTCTGGACCTTACCGCACCTGTCATGAAGAATCACATTTAAGCGCAACAACACAAGTGGTATGTGCTTTCTATAAGATGGTAAAGTCGGCATTCAATTTCACTGCAAACTGCTCGAAAACCATTAAACACCCACGAAGAAGAACACCAATATCTTCTTGGAACAGTGGTTGAGTTACAAAGTAGAATATAATTGGTTAATGCTTGTTGAGGATGTTGGGAGAGGAGTCCCACGTCAGCTAATTAAGGAATACATCTCCATTAGTATTAGGCTTTCCAGAGAAATAAAAAATAAAGCCATGAGAGCTAATACTCAAAGTGGACAGTATCATATCATTGTGGAGTGTTGTGATTCCTAATATTGCCCACTAATATGGAAAAAGCTGACTCTAACTAGTGTGGAAAGTGGATTCAGAAATCTACATAGTCCTAATGTAGTAGATACATTTTCCAGTTAAGAGAAAAGAAATCTATTAAGAACAGAACAAAATTCAGCACAAGAAAATATATAACTCAGAGGATTAAGATAAAGGGAGAGAGAGATGCAGCAGAACTCACCCAAAAGTAATCTTCGCCTTAACGGGTTTAAGTTGTGAATCATCAGTGATCAAGGACACTACGTCCTCTACCAAGTACCCAGTCGACGAGTCATTGCCAGCCCTGTATTTAACTTCATAAGGACAAGTATTTTGGTTTGAAGTGCATTTGTTTGAAAGCTCGCACAATGCGTTGCTGCAGGGAACAGTTGAGCTCGTTTTTGAAGCATTTGGCCTATAATGATTGAACGGAACCTGCAGAGAAACATAAAAAAAAAAAAACAAACAATAACAATAATCAACCAATCGATATCATCAGAGGATCAACTTCAAGAATTTGCATCCCGAGAAAATACCTTCCCACTAGGCGTTGAAGTAGGACAACTGCGGCATTCACACGGTAACCAGAACAAATTGCTTCCGGTGTCCAACGCCACAAAGAAATCTAGCGCCGGCGTTCCGATCGAAATATTGGCGTACAACAAACTGAAAAGCCCCAAACGGAAGGGAACAGGACAGCAATTTAAGCAAAGATAATCTCAAAGAGAAAAATCAGAACAACAGAGGATTCAAATAACTCAAAAACAGAAATAGAGAGAAGAGATTAGGGAAATGAACGGAGAGAATAAGGAGCATACAATCCAAAATTGACCATCAAGTAGGTAGCGTTACCACCAGCGAACGTCAGCTCCTTACTACCATTACTAGCGGCCAATCGCCGGCCATGTACTAACCGATCACGGTGGACCAAAGTCGCATAATATTCAGGGGAATGTTTCTCCGGCAAACCTTCAGAATCGATAATCTCCATAACCGAATCCGAAAATCGATGGTGAATACTGAACTTAAACGAAGATGCATCACCACTTCTCAGCCCGCCGAAGAGAAAGAAAACAGAAAAAACCAGTAACATCTGGGCGCCGAAACTGAACGCCCACGCCATGGACGCCGATTAGAGGATTCAAAAACTTCCAGGGAAAGTGAGAAAGACATGTTCAGAGTCGAGAAGGAAGAGAATAAATAAAATGGAACATGAGAAGGATGAGAGAGAAAGAGAGGAGAGGCGTTGAAGTTCAGAAGAAAATGAAATATATTGAAATGTATAATTATTTTTTTCCTTTTATAAAAAGAAAAATAAACATTATATTATGCATCCGTGTTGAGGTCTAAAAGGTAAATAAAGAGAAGAAGAGGGGCATAACTGCAAAAGAGAAAAAGTACGGTAGTGGGTCTACGAGCGAAGAGTGGCATGGAAAAAGGCCGTTAGAAGCGGTTAGTGAAGGCCGTTGACTTTTCCAAATTCAAAATGTTTAGTTTATTAAAGGCTTAATTATGGCTGGAATAATTAAATTAAATTAAGTTAAGAGCACAGCTAAATATGTTAATTACGACGCAGAAGCTTCCTTAGTTCTTCAATGAATTTAGCCATTAGTCAATTTCAACGTTGTATTGCAATATTATAATACAAAATAGATGGTTAAGTTTCCTTATGGATTTCCTTATTCTACGCTAAATTCCAACGACCCCACTATTGAATAATTGAAATATATTACAATAGCTCAAGCACGCCACTATTGAATAATTGAAATATATTACAACAATTCAAGCTCACAGCTCCAACACCAAGAGAAATTACAACTAACACAGCTAACAGGAGGAAGAACTAACACACTAACAGATTCCTATTCCACCAACATAAGGAGGATCTAATAGCTAGCTAACCGGAGGAGGAACTAACACACACACTAAAAAATTCCTATTCCACCAACATAAGGAGGATCTAACAGCTCTTGGAACTAACACAGCTAACAGGAGGAGGAACTAACAGCTAACATATATTAGAACTAACACAACTAACGGGAGGAGGAACTAACATAGCTAACAAATTCATATTCCACCAACACCAGGAGGAACTATCACCGTCAACCTCCCGATTTTAAAACGCGTATGCTAAATAGAGGTTTCCACACCCTTGTAAAAAGTTAAAGAATATTTTATTTTCATCTTCAACTAGCATGTGATCTCATATATAATTTACTTCAATCTTATATCCATAAATCTCGATCATTTATGTTTGTGTTGAATTTCCAACGTACAGAGAATCGTAGAAAAGTGCACATTTTACAAAGTACTAATAAACCAATCTGCAATTTACATAATCAATCAACCGTAGAATCGACAAGTGCGAACTAACTTGGTTAACAATTTACAACTAACTGTATTTAAAACATACAAATCCCAACACTAATTGTTTTCTGTTCTTTTCGGAAATGCTAATGTTTTAGCATATGAAATGACAGATCTCAACTACCAGAGAGAAAATTGTAGTCTAAAAATGACAGAAAAAACATCAGATCTCGGCTGCAGCACCTACCAGTCAATCAAAAAGAGGCTTTGGCTACTGGCCATGTGTTTTAATCATAAGGAATGAGACTGGCTCCCTTGGCGTGCATCTTTATGTCGATCCCAAGAACTGAGCAGAATTATGGGTTGAAAATGAATGCATTTCTAGCCAGCAACAGATAATTCACAGTCCCAATTGCTTGAAGATCACGTGGAAAATGAGGGAGAACAAAAATCAATGGCATCAGAAAGAGTATATATTTTACAGTACATATAATGAGAACGAATGAGGTTCTTCCTCGGCTATTGTACTTACAGTGCAAGATACAATTCAGCTAACGTAAGTGTGAGTGCATGCCAAAGCCGAGATCATGGCTGATATGTGTCCCAGTCAAATTTAGGTTGAGAATAGACCTCATAATCGATGGGTCCGTCTATAACTGAATCAACTGTTTGAATGCCCTCCAAGTGCATTCTTTGAAATCCATCATCATAAGAAGGAACTAGTTTGTACACAACTAGCAACCCAAGTGTGAATATCGCTTGCAGCTTCGTTGAGTCCCCGTTTACCGAGAAGAACAAGAGCATGGAGAGCAGGAATAAATCAACGCAGAATCGCATAATCCCAAGAACTGTATCCATCAACTTCCCATCATTGCCGGCGGGAAAGCCACCTACTCTATAAACAAATAGAAAGTTGTACTTGTCGACAACATATCTATATCCGAAGTATGCTGTCCCGATCGGAACCACCAGTGGAGCAAATGAAGAATATATCATGGTGAGGGCAAATATTGTTAAATTGAATGCATAATATTGCGCAAAATCAAATTTCTGTTTCGGTGCAGTTGAGGTTCTATTAACGGGATAAACGGAAAGATCTTGTCCCTGCATATCCATATCGATCAGTCTAGGGGAGGTATCTGGTAGTAATGATCTCTCAAGACTATCTATTTCCTGGTACTCAAATGGGTACTCTTCACTTTGTTCAGGAACCAGCTGGAGCATGTCGTTCTTTCGAAACCTTCGAATCTTCTTCTTTATCCATGGTATTGGAGCCAATAAGTCAAAAGATATGCCCAAGAACGTACTCGTGATTAAAAAAGCAACGGACGAAAGGCATGATCTTGAAAGGAATGATGTACTCATGTACTGCTCAATTCTCTTGCAATCTTCACTATCCAAATAACACTGTCCCATCCCAAGGAGTGCACTCTCTAAGGATGACTCAACCAGAGCCCTCAGAAGGATGAGGTTTACTAAGAAAAAGCAAACCATCTTCAAAAGTGCAGCTCTCTGCTCCCCAGATACGGTAAGATGTCGTTCGAACTTAGAAAGATAAGAAAGAGCTGATGGAATTATTATATACATACTCACGAAGATGATAACATTGGGCAGGAATTGAAAGATAAGACTGCCAATCCAGCTAGAACTTTGCACCCAATCCAACCATGACTGAGCATTATCCATCACTTCGGCATTGATAATTCTCCCGGCACTCTTAACAGCCGTGATCACAGCAAGAGGAGAGCTAAAGAACAAAAGCATTAACAGTAAGCAAGTGTTCACAAATATTCTTCGAAGTCTCAATGATAGTTTTGTTGATCCCAAATGATTCCAGTAAATATCAGTCGCCAACGGTGCCCGATCAACTTTCCATTGGTTTCTTTGAAGACGCAACTCCATGACCGAAAAGAATTTCCCAATTCGTCTCTTCCTTTCATTTCGAAAATCCATAACTGCTTTATTGGTAGCATAGATATCCTTGAACATAACAAAAGCAACCCCAGCTCCAGGTGCACGCCCTTCCTTGTAAGCAGCCAGTTCAGTTTCCAAGTTGGCTCTCAATTCTTGCAGCCGTTTTAGTCTCTCCTCATTTGTGTAACCAAATTTGTCTATTATCTGACACCACAGATCTTTTACTCTCCTCCAAACACAACGAATCCAACAAAATAAAACCTTCAAACAATCGCTTCTAAATTCATCGTCTTCGTCCTCGGGTGCAAGACGAGAATGCATTTGTTCTACCAACTGTGATATTTCTTCCCTAACCTTGACCAATTCTGTGGCCAAATCATCCAAAGCGCACAAATTCATAGGCATTATGACCCTATAAATCTTGCCAGGATACTTATGCTGGAAATACTCTAATATCGCGGCCCTATCAACCTCTAGGCTTTTGGGAATCCCTTCCACCATTATAGTGAAAATGGCAGTGGAATCAGCAGCGGGATCACTTAAATTCCCATTCCCATCTCTAAATCTAGTTATCTTTAACCTCTTTTCAATGGCAGAAATACCAAAGTGCACAAAAACAACAACAACAACCATAAAAGCAAAATGCACCCAAAGTAAAACCGAACCTTTCTCAATGTGATTGATCGTAGTCTTCGAGAACTGATCGTTCAATACAGCCTGTCCAGCATAGAGATTAAGCGGAAGCAACACTGAAACCGACAAAATCGCAATCAATAGTAGAACCGCACAGCTCCCGCCTTCTATCAAAAGGAACTGCGCGGCATCGGCACCACAATGGCGCGCAATATCCCGACAAGTCGCGTGCCACACCGCAAGAAGCTTTGTAACCAATCCAGAAGGACCAGGAATTCGACGGTGGTCGCTTCTAAGCTTCACAAATAGAAATATGAAGAGGCACGAGAAGGCACCAATGATCGAAATATTCAACAAGTATTGAATATTACCATACCACGAAGTGAAATCACTTGCAGACCCGCCGTCATCGGAAGAGGGAGAGGGAGAAGAAGACTGATTCACGAAGGATTTAAAAGGAACCATCGAGTACGAGCTTCGTCGGATCTCTGAACGTGGAAATCGAAGGTTCACACAATCAAATTCGACATTCTTCGCGTGGAAATAGTGGTCTGCATCAACAAATTAAATCATAGAACGCATCGATACCTTAATTCGGACGATTAACAGCTCGAATTCGAAGAAATTTAAAGGCCTTAGGGCTTGTGAATCAAATCATCTCCCCTTCGACTTTACAGATGGACACCTCCTCCTCGTACTGGGAGTAGAAATTGAAAAATTGAAGCAATCACGATTCACGAACAGGATTGTGTTACGGGAATGGCATTCGAACTGGAAATCCCAAATTGAAATGTTAATTCTTTGGGGAAAATCTGAAATCGTAGTTTTTTCTTTTCCTTGAACATCTGGAACTTTGGTCAAAACGCTAACTCGATCCAATTAAATATAAATGAGATAATACTAATAAAAAAAAAATTCCCCTTTTTTGAGAAAATCTTCATCGAGTTCTTCCAAGTTTGGAATTTATATCTCTATCAACGAGTGGAATTTATATTTTTAAACCCTCTAAATTTAATTTCTAAATAAAAAAAATCTCTAAAATTAAAGTTTTTCCCAAAATAAATTTAGAATAATAGTAGTCTAGATTAATATACTCTCTTTTATTATAGTCACTTAAAATAAAGTAATAAACTGCATACGAGTTAATTCATAAATATTTATCTAAAAGTTTTTATAATCGTGCTCCTAATATATTTGTCAAGCTAGCTAATAATTATTGGGTAGAATATGGGATTAGAATATATATATATATATATATATATATATATATATATATATATATATATATATATATATATATTTATTTATTTATTTATTTATATTTATTTATTTATTTATTAAAGATAAAACAATTGTCAAGGATCTATTAAGGGTTAAAAAATATATATATGAAAAAATTTTAAAAGTTGAAAAATCAAAATAAAAAGAAAAAATGTTCCTATATTATATATTTATTTATTTATTTATTGGAATATATGGGCCGACATTCCATGGTGAAAGCCCACAAAATAGGGTTGAGAATTTGTCCGAAACCGACACGGCAAGCAAAACAAGGCACCCAATATAGTGGAGTTTTAAATTTCAAATCCTTCCTATAATTAAATAATGCAGTATTTTAGACAAATTTAAGGTTTATATATATATATATATATATTCTTTACTGATTTTAGACAATTAATAAATGCAAAAGACTTAAAAATTTGATATTAATCGATTAAAATTCATTTTTCAAAAACGTCTGAAAAATAATTATCTAAAAGTAAATAAATAAATAAATATATATATATATATATATTCAAAAACGTCTGAAAAATAATTATCTAAAAGTAAATAAATAAATAAATATATATATATATATATATATTACATTAATAGAATCANAGACAATTAATAAATGCAAAAGACTTAAAAATTTGATATTAATCGATTAAAATTCATTTTTCAAAAACGTCTGAAAAATAATTATCTAAAAGTAAATAAATAAATAAATATATATATATATATATATATTACATTAATAGAATCAGATTTGAATATAGTATAGTGCAATCAACAATTTTATTATTTAAATTAGAAGGTATTCTAAGTACACCTGTACTTTGTGAATAAGTAGAAAACAACAATTTTATTATTTAAATTAGAAGGTATTCTAAGTACACCTGTACTTTGTGAATAAGTAGAAAATAAATTATATTTTTAATAATTACTATTAGAAAATAATAAAAATACAAGCTAAATTTTGGGAAACTTTCAACACAAACTAATAATTAAAAAAAATGGTAATATTAATTTTTTTAATTAGTTTTTATAGCAATTAAATTATATATATATATATTGCTAAATTTGAATATCTTTATATAAATGGGTGTGATGAGGGGCGGTTTGGCTTTGGCTCGGTCGGTGGGACGGGCACGGGATTAACGCGCCTCCGGTTCTGGTTTTGGTTAAAAAAATCACTCAAACAAAAAGTTGCATTTTCCGGCCGGGTTATTCTATGGCGGCGCCGCCATTTTCTGTGGCGACCCGACATTGACGGCGAACTTGTACAAAAAATTGTTATATTTACAAATTTAAGTAAATCGTTATATATCTCGAAATATAAAATCTGAAATTGCTACTCTTAAACCAAACCATGAACGGTGGACCGAACCAACTAAACCACCGTTGGTCCGACCGGAATATTTATTTTCTCAGAAATTTGGCGAAAAAGAAAAAAGAAATGAATAAAATAAAAAGGGGGAGACGGTTGGAGATAAGAAAAGGAGGGGGACACGTGGCAAGGTTGACTTAGGAATGAAGGGACACGTATGCACACGAAAAGTCACAAGAAGAGATAGGTAGCACGAGGGGAGGGAGCTATTTACCAATAACTCAACCAACATTGCCACATATTTTATTACCTCTCTTTTTCTCACCCTCCCTTCAATTATTTCCATCATTTTTCACCTTTTTAAAGCTTATTATTATTATTATTATTATTATTATTATTATTATTATTTTAAATATCTCTGATGAAACAGCTTTTGGAAATTATTTTACTTTATTTCATAGAACTCTTCTCAATATCAACGGTCCTGCCCATTTGATCTTACAAGAACTAGAATAAAAGAAGAACAAACATGAACACCAGAGAAGGTACAAAAATTTGAAGCAAATTTGTAGTATAACAGTGGTGATCACTGATATTGTTCTGTTCTCTTCTGTTCATCCCGTTTGCGTCCACTTCATTCAATCAAGCGGATTCTTGGTTTTTTTTTTCTTCTTCTTCTTCGATTTCCATCGCGCCCCGGAAAGGGAGCGAAAGAGTTTCGGGAGATTTTATTTTTTATTTTTTTTATATGGTGGATGATAAATTTGAAACCTCGTTTGCCTACAGTTTTTGTTTGATGAATCTGTGGATCTACTGCTTCTTAGATCTCCATCGTTTTCATTTGGTAGCATTCAGTAGCTGTCCGAACTGATCAATAACCTAATTGCAGAGTGAGTTCGTATTACTTTTTCATCGTCTCTTATTTGTGTAGTTCGTATTTTTCATTTAGTTTTTCGGAATTTAAGCTTGAGGATGAGGCGTTTCTGGTTCTTGTGCTGAATGGAAAGATTTAGTTCTTGATTGTGTGTTTTTTGTAGCCCTTTTTCACTAATGATATTTGGTCAACGGATTATGAGATGATGGATTTCTGTTGTATTGTGGGTTTATTGTAGTTCATCGAGATAGTTGACCGAAATATGCAATTACAGGAGGCGGTTATCAGATTGAGGAGTTTTGCTGCTTTGAATTGTGAGTGATTTCTTTTCTTTCTTTTTGATTTTGGACAGAATGGTATGGTTATCCTTTATGAATGTAGAGTTAAGTGGTTGGAGTTGATGAAATGAGGGGTGTTATCCAGCTTGATGAACTTTCTGAGGGCTTGCTGGCTGCCGTCCTCGGACAATATCGTACACAGCGGTTCGGATTCAGCAGGTCGTCGTGAAGGCTTACTATGGTACAAGGATATTGGACAGCACATGAATGGTGAATTTTCAATGGCTGTTGTCCAGGCTAATAACTTGCTTGAGGATCAAAGCCAGATCGAATCAGGTTCATTGAGCTTGGTTGAATCCGGGCCATATGGAACCTTTATTGGTGTTTATGACGGTCATGGTGGACCTGAAGCATCAAATTACATATATGATAATCTTTTCCAGCATCTAAAAAGTAAGAATTCTAATCGAGATTGAAATGAGTTTATGTTCTTCACAGTTCATATTGTCTGAGCATTCATTTGAAAATGCAGGGTTCACCTCAGAACAACAATCAATGTCATCTGATGTGATAAAGAAAGCATTTCAAGCTACAGAGGAAGGGTTCATTTCTTTAGTGACTAAACAATGGCAAATGAAGCCCCAAATTGCAGCTGTTGCTTCATGTTGCCTGGTTGGTGTGATCTGTGGTGGCACCCTTTACATAGCCAACCTTGGCGATTCCCGTGCCGTGCTTGGAAGGGTCATGCGTGCAACGGAGGAGGTTATCGCCGTGCAGCTATCAGCTGAGCATAATGTGAGCATAGAATCTGTCAGAAGGGAGATGCATTCTCTGCACCCAGATGACTCGCATATAGTAGTTTTGAAGCATAATGTATGGCGAGTAAAGGGCTTAATACAGGTAACTCTTTTACTCAGCTAAGAAATTTCTGACCATCAGGGGATATAAGTCTCTGCTTGGTGAATGTATTGTCAACTAAGCATGCGAATGCGTGTGTTTCTAGGCTTTGTTAGTCTCTTATAGGTACTGAGCTATTAGATGTCAGGCCTCAAGCTCAGAAATGTCTTTTAAAGTAGACAAAAAGAAAAAGAACATACTTTTTACTTGCTTAGTTATAGGTCTTTCCGTAAAGAGATCTATTTTTCAATGTGAGATCCCACATCGGTTGGAGAGGAGAACGAAACATTCCTTATAAGGGTGTGGAAACCTCTCCCTAGCAGACGCGTTTTAAAACCATGAGGCTAACGGCGATACGTAACAGACTAAAGTGGACAATATCTGTTAGCGGTGGGTTTGAGCTGTTACAAATGGTATGAGAGCCAAACACTGAGCGGTAGATCAGTGAGGATGCTGGCCCCTAAGGGGTGGATTGTGAGATCCAACATCAATGGGAGAGGAGAACGAAGCATTCCCTATAAGGGTGTGGAAACCTCTCGCTAGTAGACACATTTTAAAACCACGAGGTTGACGGCAATACGTAACGAGCTAAAACGGACAATATCTGTTAGCGGTGGGCTTGGGCTATTACATTCACTCTCAACCAATTCATCTTTTCTCTATCCCTCTCTCCCATTAGAGGTCCTCATTCCATTAGCAGCATTTACGTGGATGCTGCCATTTCCATTACATTGATATGTTTCATTATCGCAAAATTTATCCAACATTGTGGAATGAGAAGTTCTGATCACGTATTCGTTCACATTAGGGATTCTTTTCTTTAATTGCAGGTTTCCAGATCTATCGGTGATGCATATTTAAAGAGGGCGGAATTCAACAGGGAACCCTTGTATGCTAAGTTTAGGCTTCGTGAACCATTTACTCGACCGATACTGAGCTGTGAACCATCAATTTCGGTGCATGAACTTCAACCACATGATCAATTCATTATATTTGCCTCTGATGGCATGTGGGAGCACATTAGCAATCAGCAAGCTGTAGATATTATTCGAAATCACCCCCATAATGTAACCTACTAGAACATCTGCTCCTTGTGGTGTGCGTTTCTTATTGTTTAAGGCGATGATGAAAAGCTAAAGCTATATTGAAAGATTGAATTTGACTTGTCTGCTTGTTTTCAAGCAGGGAAGTGCTAAGAGGTTGGTAAAAGCTGCTATGCTGGAAGCAGCTAAGAAACGAGAAATGCGATATTCAGATTTGAAGGAAATTGATCGTGGTGTACGCCGCCATTTTCACGACGACATCACTGTCATAGTTGTATTTCTCGACTCTAATCTTGTAAGCAGAGCGAGCACGGTCCGAGGTCCAACCATGTCTTTGAGAGGGCGCGGGGTTATCATACCTACAAAATCTCTAGCTCCTTGTGCCACACCTACAGAGCTTCACACAATCTGATGAAGCGGTCTGACTCTCCTTCTAGCTGTTATGTATGTACCGTCTCGTGCTCGGTCTTCAGAATTGCCATGGCCCCATCAGCAATGAATATCAAGTATAAGTTAACACAAGAAAGAAGGTTTGCATACTTTCACATTTAACATGGCATGTACTCTTTGTAGTTCCTAACAATTTGAGCAGAAGTAAAGGAAGAACTGGAAAAGCTTCTATTCCTGAAAACTGAACTTTCTGCACTACAAACTTGCTGATTCTGACTGAGCTCAACTATTCAGAAAAACGAAGAACGAAACCAATCCGAACCTGTCTCGGGCTATCTTATGCATGTTTGTGACAGAATCAGTTCTTATTTTGTTCATCATTTGCAGCCACGGATAGCTGCTGTTCGATACTGGGATCGATGTCAATGGAAATACTATTAATCTCGAGGCACTTTAAGCTGACACTCTCAAACTCAACGGTATCCATCCCCACACGAAACTTCCCAAATTTGATACCTTCAATGCTCACCAGGCTCTCAGAATGTTCAAACTCCATGGATTGCTGCCTGAGGAGCTTCCTGGTGCTGAAGTTGTCAGCTTCATGAAGAGCTTCCTGTAGCTCGAGGCATACCCGAGCCATGGTTGGGCGGTACTTAGGCTGATGTGAAGTGCATTTCAGGCCAAGTTGCCCCATCTTTAGCATCACTTCCATGTTGCATGGCTCGGAAATAAGATTTACATCCAAAATCTCTTCAACACTGCCCGTTTCTAAGCTCGGTCTTGCCTGCAATTCCAGATAGAAGGTTAGACGAAAATTGAGACTTGAAACGATGTGAGAAATGAAAAAGTTCGACAAATATTTTATATATATATAATTTATCCGATAAAATAGGAGTTGGTTACCCATTCAACGATATGAGAGTTTGTGGGGATTGATTCGTTGGACGTTAGCACTGGACGAGCGGAAACGAGCTGCAGAAGAATAATGCCAAAGCTATAGACATCGCTAAAAGGAGTCAAGTGAAAGGTAGAGCAATATGCAGGGTCCAAGTAGCCAGGCGTGCCTTTGATTTGGCTGCTCACATGCGACCGATCACCAATGGGTCCCGACCTTACCAACCCAAAATCCGAAACCTTTGCCTCGAATTCTTCTCCGATTAAGATATTGCTTGGCTTTACATCTCTATGGATCACGCTAGCCTTCATCCCATTGTGTAGATGAGCAATCCCTTCTCCAAAACAAAAATCGAACAAAAAAAAATTATATATCTCTAATTCTGAAGAAGATTAGTTTTGTTTCTAATAATATTATTCTAAATACTAAAACATGAATCTACTAACGTATTTTCAAATAAAAGATCAGATGTTTGAATCTATGCCTCTTAAAGAAACACAATCATTTTATTAGATCCAATGTCGTGTTCTAAATAAATGAAATAGATATCAATGACGAGAAATGACATACCTTTGGCAGCTCCAATAGCTATGTTAACTCGTTGTCTCCAAGTCAAGCTTCTTCCTTCATGGCCTATGCAAAGCCACAATAAACTCGACCAAAATATTTTACAAATGAAGAAGAGATCGAAATATTAATTAAATAAATTTTTTACCAATTATGTAATGTAGAAGTGATCCATTTGGTACATATTCATAAACCAATATTCTCTCTCCTCCATTCCCTGCCAAGAACACATGATTTTCACATTTTTTAAAAAATTATCTTCATAAATCATCAAAATTCAATCTTTTTTTAAGCTCTAACCTATAGTTTCTTCGCAATATCCCACCAGAGCTGCCAAGTTCTTGTGCTTTACTGATGACAATAGCTTCACTTCTATTCAATAAGAAACAAATAGTTTCGAAGTTGTTAAAAATTTTATTTTTGTTTTTCGAGTTTAACTAAGAATTCATATGTGAGATTCTATATCAGTTGGGTAGGAGAACCAAATCTTTTGTATAAGCGTTTTGAAACCATGAGATTGACGCTTATACGTAATAGATCAAAACAGATAATATCAACAAGCGATGAGTTTGGACTATTACATCAAATGTTTTGGATTGCTATAAGTTGATGATGATCAAATCCGCTACACTCACCCACTGTCACTTTGCCCATTTAAATAGATTTTGCATAAAAATAACCATGTTTATGTCGGATCTTGAATATGAAAATTATTTTTAATAGATAATTTCTATTTTTATTAAAAAAAATTACAAAACAACCTAATAAATTCAAGAATATTTTACTTAATCTTTATTTATTTATATAAATACAGTTGAATCATCATTTGAACACAATTTCTTTTTGATAAACACAAATTTTAGGGATTAAATTGTTAATTAAAAATAATAATGTTATTTTAAACAAAATTAAAGAGTAAATTAAAAGAGAATTAATTTACCATTTCGAAATTCTTCAAGACTCGTATAGGAATCACTATGCGGTCTTTTTATGGCCACGATTTCGTGGCTCTCAAGAACACCTTTATAAACATTAGCAAACGAACCAAACCCTAACAAATATTCGCTTCTGAAATTCTTCGTCGCCTTCTCCAATTCCTCAAATCGGAACCTCCTCGGCTTCGATTTCCCTTCCTTCAACCTTCCGTCAGTGTTCCGCCGCCGCTGCCAGAACCTCTGCAGAATTTTCCGACGAAAAGCACAGAACAGAAACGCGCTCAACGACACCACCACCACTGCTCCGACGACAAACTCTACCCACCGACTGCTCCTGTTCGGCGGCGGAGAAATTGCCGGCGAAGAGGCCGATACAGCGGCGAAGAAGGCCATTTCTTAAGAGCGTTTGACAGATTGAGGAAAATTAGGGCGAAGGTGAGCGGAATTTGAAGAGAAGAAGAATGGGTCTTGTTGTTGCTGAAAGCAGGACGGCACACAGAGCCAAAACAGAGAGCCATAGAATTATAAACATGAACACTCTACGGTACCATTTTGTGGATTATTTAAATCATATCTCAACCATTTGCTAGCATTTGTTGTAGGATCTTTGTTGAATTTTTGGTTAATTTTCATATAATTAGCCAATTTCAAATGATTTGGACATGTATATATATATAATTTCGATTGGATTCACTTATTTGGATCATTTATTCGAGTTTTTATTTACAAATGTATAAATAATAATATTTTTTTAAATATAAAAAACCAAGACAAAACGATTTATTTTATCCCGAGATATTCGAGTTCTTTTCAAATGATATTTTTATTATTTGAAATAACATAAAAATAATTAATTATTTATATGTTTAATTTTTAAAATTGATGTTGAAAAATGTTAATAAAGGAGACAAGCAGATGAATTATCTCTTATAGTAAGAGCTCTGTTGGAGAAACCTAAAGTAAAACTATCCTACTTTATGTCTAAAATGATTTTGAATTTTTGGAGAATTAAAATATTTGTATTTTTTATTTTTTTTTTTAAATTTTTTAAATAGATCAATAATCCTTCTGATAATTTAACCTAAATTTGGTAACTCAAAATTAAAGATGTAATTTTCTCACAATTATTTATTATGTTGTAATCATACTTTTTAAGGGAAAAAATTAAAAGCAAAATCATTTTCGTTAAACTCTTGATTATATTGATTGGCAGATTAGTTACCGGATCAGTGAATGTGGTCGCCTTTGTTCATTGTTGGTACAAAAGATGACAGCTTTTGGGTTGTTCATAGATATGACTTTAGCCAATTCACATCAACATATTCTTGTAAATTCACATCTTAAAATACTCACCATCTTATCCTCATCCAGCAACATTCCAATGGAGAAGTCAGAGAATCATGAATAAAAAACACTTTTAATTAGGAATTCCACTTTCCCATTAGGAAAATCGAGGCAAAACAGGCTCCAAAAGACATGAAGATGTTGATGAAAACAAAATCAAACTCATACCCATGTTAAAATCTGGAGAAAACTGTATGAAAATCATAAGTTTTGATCAATAAATCCAAGCAAATGATTGTAGATGAATGAACTTAGTCAAGAACTTGTAGGAAAGCGCCAAATTGCGCCAAAAATCTTGCGAATTGGGTAGTTAGAGAGAGGTAGGGACCGCCCACTTATGACCGATTTTTGCGTCTCAGCGATATACCCAGAGAGACCCATTCTTAATATTTTCCACCGTTTGTGGCCGCCTACCGCTTTCACTTCCCTTTTCATTTTGCTACCCCCTCTCTCTCTCTCTAGATTACCATACTGGAGTTCGATTCAGCCCATTTGATCTCGCACCGTTTCTCCTCCAATTTTCCCTTTCCTGCCTTGATTTCTTAAGTTGATCGATCTCTCTTTGCTTGTGGAGTATCGCATCCATCACATCCATGGGTACTCTTCCAATCAAATCGATCTTCGTCCCTTCTCTTTCGCTTTTTTCTGGTTTTTTTGTGATTTGCGTGTTTGCGGCTGCTTGCGGCGGCGATTTCTGTTGGGGGTGTTTCGTTTTTAATTCTCTGATGTTGGGTTTCTTGGGTTTTTTTTACAGCGATCGAAAACCCTTTCAATGGCATCTTGAAGACCCTTGAGAATCCTGATGGGTCTGTGTTTGGAAAGTACTACAGCTTGCCTGCTCTGAACGATCCTAGAATCGGTGAGTGGTTCTGCTTTATTTGATTATTGGTTTGGTTCTATCTGTTTGAGTGTGCTTTATTAGATTCTATATGTTTTTGTGAATCAAAAGTTAAAGTGGTTTTAGTGTTGTGAGTTGAAACTACATTAAACGTTCTGAATGGTTGGATGTTGATTGTTGGATGGATGTTTCTTTGGCAGAAAGGCTGCCATATTCCATTAGGATTCTTCTCGAATCGGCCATCCGAAACTGCGATGAGTTCGCCGTTAAGGCTAAGGATGTCGAGAAGATTCTTGATTGGGAGAACACCTCCCCCAAACTGGTTGAAATTCCTTTTAAACCTGCTAGAGTGTTGCTTCAGGTCAGCATTTTGTTTCTGAAAGTTGGATATGGATTTGTGTTGTCATTTGATATGTGAAATGTGCGTCGATTTAGGATTTTACTGGTGTGCCTGCTGTTGTTGATCTTGCTTGTATGCGAGACGCTATGAACAGGCTTGGTGGCGATTCCAACAAGATTAATCCATTGGTGAGTAGTGTACTATATAGATTCTTCGTTCTTTATATTTGTCGATCGTTCGATCTATCGAATACATGAACAGTTGAACACATAGTGATGGCTTATGAATGCAATCAATTCAGGTTCCTGTAGATCTTGTCATTGATCATTCAGTTCAGGTCGATGTGGCAAAGACCGAAAATGCAGTACAGGCGAATATGGAACTGGAATTTCAACGAAACAGAGAAAGGTTTGGTTTTCTGAAATGGGGATCTAGTGCTTTCCATAACATGCTTGTCGTACCTCCCGGATCTGGTATAGTTCACCAGGTATACTTCCATGTCTTACAACACTCGAGCGTGCAGGATAGTCCACCTCGATCATCCCGTTGTCTCGATATAAGTGTACTTTTTTGCCTTTTACTCATAGTATTGCATCATTTTTCAGGTTAATCTGGAATACCTTGGCCGAGTAGTTTTCAACACAAATGGCTTGCTTTACCCTGATAGTGTTGTGGGAACCGATTCACACACAACGATGATTGATGGATTGGGCGTTGCTGGTTGGGGCGTTGGTGGGATAGAAGCAGAAGCTGCAATGCTTGGACAGGTATGAAATAATCATATTTTTTGGTATCGTATTTTTGTTATCTTGCGGAAAAATGGTTGACTTTGTTCTTTCTTTCTCTCGTCAATTTTAGCCCATGAGCATGGTCTTGCCTGGCGTCGTCGGGTTTAAATTAATTGGAAAGCTGAGAAACGGTGTAACAGCTACAGACTTGGTTTTGACTG